TCGTGCCACCGAGAGAGGGAGAAGCGCTATGGAGTGCACGTTGCGGCAGGCGTTGGGCAGCGTCTCAAGATGGGCAGAGCGGAACAAACATGGAGCCCAGCGCCGCGAAGGCGAAGTGCGCGCTGTCTTGGCACCGCCCTCACGGGCAGCCTGCGGCCGCACGCGGGTGGGGCTCGCTTGGTGGAGGATTGCCTCCCGCGGTTGTTGGGGCGGTTTTGATCCAGTCATTGCGCTGGGTTGGCCGGCAGTTGCGGGGATCCCTTACCTCCGCAAGGAAACAAGACTTATGAAGATCAAGGCGGTGTCTGCGAAAACGCGGGGGCCGAAATGCGAGAGGCTTCGTCCGCCGCCCAAGACCCTCGCTGGTGGGTCCCCCAACTCCTCTACGGAGCAGTGGCGCGCCGCAACACGGCTTCGCTGTCGGCGCTGGAGCGCCTGGAGAAGTTCCACACCCGCGCCGCCGGCGTCATCGCTGGCGTTCGCGTCGGGGCTTCTCGGGCAGCTGCTGAAGAGGAGGCTCGCCTTCTCTCGCTGGGAGGGCTTTGCATCGATGCGGGGTTACCCAGTGCTATCTGCAGTCGTGCGTGCGCAGTGGCGAGTTACAGCGACACGCCGAGGCTCTTTTCCCGCCTTCCAACCCGACACACTCAGCCCTCCGCCTGATAGCGGGTAAGTTGCACGAGCGTGGGTGCTTTCGGCACGCCCCATTGCCGCGGAGCCCCACGATGCCGCCAACGCGCGTATGTACTTTGACGCGTCGCCGCCGGGCGGATTGGGCGCCGGTGCCGATCCGGAGGAGAGACACAAGGGATGCATGCTGCTGGCGGAGTCGAAGGCGCATGCCCTCCGATACACACTCAATGGGCGGTCGGCTCCGTAGAGCTCGGAGTGGGGACTGGCCGCGCCGCCCGCTTAACTTAGCGCCAGACACGCGTCCGTGCAGTATGAAGTGTGGCTGCGGCTCGCTGGCGTGCGGCAGCGGGGTGGGGTACCAGGACACGGAACAGAGCTCCGCTGAGCTCCTGCTGTGCGTTCTGAAAACGTCCGGCAGGCGCGTGGCGGGCGTATTTACTGCCTCACCGTCCCTTCTCCTGAGCGCGCTTGAAACGGGCCCGACCCGAGTCACGGACGGGGTGCTCCGCCGCATTTGGAGCGTCATTGCCGGCCCGCTCCGTCGTGGCGCGTGCGCCTGCGCTTTAACCTTATTTTTTGGGCGCGCCGGCGCCTCTCACACACACAACGAGGCGGCTGATGAACTTGCGAAAGCGGCGCTGGGGGAATTCCAGGGCGCACCCGCGCGGATGGCGGACATCCGCACCGCCACCCGCCGCCGCCGCGCACAGAAAAAACTGAGGAGGCCGCCATCATCCCCGCAGGACCCGACAGCCAGCGCCGGCGCCTCTTCGTGGATGGCGCGAGTCCGCAAACAGCCCCGCTGACGCGTGCAGGGG